TGTGTGTGTGTGTGTGTGTGTGTGTGTGTGTGTGTGTGTGTGTGTGTGTGTGTGTGTGTGTGTGTGTGTGTGTGTGTGTGTGTGTGTGTGTGTGTGTGTGGTTATACACAGTATGAGCGTTTAGAAGTATAATGGGGAAATGTATATTTGGATAGTGTGACATGTACTGTTAACATGTTGGATAAATGCAAACATCACTAAAAAAGTTATAATGGTCTCCTGCCAGAAGTGTGTGACACTATGAGACACCAGCAGTGGAAAAACTTAAACTTGTATTTTTCCTTTCAGGAAGACATCTGTAAAACTAGAAACTGTTGTTTTATTTACTTTATTACTGGTTCTATTATGATGCGTTGTAAGCTATAACATTTACCGTTGCAGACAATAAGTGAAACTGAAGAGATAGTCGGTTATGTCAGAAATACAGAGTCTGAATCTGTATAATGTTTTTAGTTAGATGACTTCAGGGTGTGAGGGTTTCTGTAATAATAGTGTGTATGGAATATGACGTCTGTATTTAATATTATGTTTGACTCTCCTTTACATTTACACATTGTTATGTTGATTCCTCCATCTCATTCTGTACATGGGTCCAGTTTTTCTGACTCTTAATAAAGACTGTCGCTCTGGAATACATCCTGTTGTCTTTTGCATGCCTCCTGTCTCCTATCCCCCCCATTAAGCCATTCGTTTTTTAAGTAGGGTTTTCCTAGAAAACATGTATAGACTAACACAAAAGGAATCCCTCAAAATCTCTGTTATTCTCATTCTGCTGTTGGAGTATCTCTGGGCGTAAACCTCGATTAAAAAACGTAGCGACCAGCTGCCAGAACATAACATCCAGAGGAGGTGCTGATGTAACATGGCAAGAAGACAAAGCTCAATTCAAAACCAGAGGGAATCTTCTGGTTGGCTTTTACCCTATTGGGCACCCTAAGCCTCGGCCCTACTCTTTCTGCCTTTAATTACTATGACACACTGATGCCATGTTTGGCAAGTCACAACACATTAGGATTAGAAGCGCTAATTAAATAGGCTAGTAGTACATCAATACAAGTGAACTACAGGGTAACTGTTTCTTTCTGGGATCCTTATCGCCATTTTTACTCAGACTCTGTAGGACTTGAGTCTTCTCTGAAAAACTGGAGAGTGACTTGGACTTGCCGGAAAGATTCAACACAAACAGAACGAACCATTGACTGAGAAACAGTTAATGTAACTTTATAACTTATGTAATTTACTAATTTGGTCAAAGCTGAGAGTTCAGCTCAGTCCCAAAGGTGTTTTTATTTATTTCTTTGCAGAAGGTTATTTGCTGCATTGGAGGTACAGTGTAGATGGATGTAGTTGTTTTGATCAAGCTGACTGTAAAGGCCATGGCATGTGATTCATATAATTTTCATACTAACGAAAACATCCAGTGATCGCTCGCACAACATATGGAAGCATCTGAATTCTTAATGTTTCTTCATCTCTATCTGTCTTCCTTCTATTTGTCACTAATTTCTGAAGTCATCCAAAATGGACCCTGAATCTTAAAAGGATTTGATTGAAATGGCGAATCTTGTAACTGTGGCCGGCAACAAAAAAAACAGCAAGAAACTGAATTCAACGCTCAATAATTCATATTCCAATCCTACACATCTTGTGCTTTTAAGATCCATTAACCGATCATCCTATCACCAAGGGCTTAGATTTGAAATAACAGTGTTTACAATGAGTTCTCTGTTTTGTAGGAATGGTTAATGTAAATAAATGAGCACACAAATACAATTTTCTATGCTTTTATGCTATTAAATTATTTAAATTGCAAGGTTCGGTCACATCAAGAACATTAACAGTAATTTCACCTTTAAATATTGTATGTAATGAATGATTTCTACGACTAAAAGAGACTTTTTACGAGGTCTCCATCCATCCAGGCTCAGTGTAGCAGTGTTTGTTTAAAGCATGCGTGCGTGCTTCCATGTGAAATTCACACTGAACTTGCCATCAGGATGTGTTTCTTTGAAATCTTTTCTCTCTCGTTTGGTTCTCTCGTTTCTCCTCTTCCTGTTCCCTTTCCATTTCCTTTGACCTTTTCCTGTGCAGCCATGATTTTAACTTCCTCTTTATGTGTGTGCTTGCGTGTGTTTGTGGATGTGCGTGTTCAGCTGAGTGTGAGCATAAGATCCACAGCCCCAGCGGGACCCTGAGCAGCCCCAACTGGCCGGACAAGTACCCCAGCCGTAAGGAGTGCACCTGGGACATCACCGCCACACCCGGACACCGAGTCAAGATCGTGAGTGATCTGAGATCAAGCGGATTGTGAAGCTTCTTTAACCCCTTTTCCTTTAGCATTACTGGCCCTCTTCCCTTCCTCATAAATAAGCATTATTCTGTCTGTGGGGTCATATCTCATGTTAAACCCGCAGGCTGCCCTCCCCCCTTCTCTCACTATGATCTCTCTTTCCCATGTTCCACTTATGAAACCCAAATGAGAACGGGGGGAGAAAGTGCGCGTTTGTATATTCGGGCTAACTGCAAGCGTGTGCTCATGCATTAGAGGCCTTGGGCCGTGGCCATCTGTGTCCTTGTGGCTTTCTGCGTGTGTGTGTGTCAGCGTATGTGTGTTTGTGGGTGCATTTAGCCTGCATGTACACACACACACATGCATGTAAGCATGTATGATCAACACAAATAGTCATTTTTACTTTATTGAGTTGCAGCGGATGTATGTATTTGAGAATATACCAACATATAGTGTGTCATGTGCATGATGGCTGCACTGAGGACTTCCAAGTGTGATTGTAATTTGTAGGAAGAGAGACAGAAAGATAAAGAGGAGAACATTATGTGAGAGAAGGAATGGAATTTCTCCTGACTCAGGGTGATTTCCAGAAGATACTTAACACCTTTTCAAAAGTTGATTGAGTGTATCGAGACACAAACCATCAAACAGGCCTTTGAGCATGTGGTCTAATTTTGTGATACACTTTTACGCTTCATACCATCACGAACACTGTAGATAAACAGCTGGAATGCTGGCTGCATTATTCACACACTTACCTGCATATCCTGTACCTAGAGCAGGGGTTGTCAAACAAAATTTCATCGCGGGCCACATTTGCATAAAGGTTGCACTCAAAGGGCCGGTTGTAACTATATAAATATATAATATATATATAAAATAATGTATTATATTACATTATTGCCTCTGAATTGGATTATTATCGGATAGGATAATAACTTAGTAATTAACTACGTCTGAACGCAGAAGTCCAGGGCAAATCATTGCAAATCTCTTCAGTGCACATGTCACAAAACGAGATGCATTGTGGGACATGTAGTTTATGGGCAACCTGCTTCTGTAAAGTGGCATGTAACCGTATAATAAACGTATTATATTCTTTGCAAGCTCTTGCAGGGCCACATAAAATGAAGTCGCGGGCCGGATTTGGCCCCCGGGCCTTGAGTTTGAGACCCCTGACCTAGAGCATCATAAAGTACATGAGGGGGGAGATCAGGGTCATTTATGCCCCACACTGACATGTCCTCCTCTGTAACACTTATACTGTAAGTACATTAAAAGGAGCAGTGACAAAAAGCTTTTTACTTTCTCTGCTGAAATTCAGCAATGACGGTTCCCATGTGTTTAAAGTCAGCTGATGACCTTACTTTGTAGTCTGCTCCTACATGGGCTTAATTGTATCTTGCCAATATGTAATAATAATGTAAAAGAATGCATGCAAGCAAAGCTTATTGGGACCATATGTGCAGTTAACGACGCAGCATCAACGACTTTTTTTGATAATGATTTATATTCCCGATTCCTTAATTAAATATATGGTCTACTCTACAATATATCAGGAAATAGCAGCCGCATGCTGATGTTGCTGCATGCATGTTATAAAAAACAGTCATCAACCGTCATTTAGTGTTTATCTCTTATCTATGCTTGCATAACTGAAAGTCATAAAAAAAAGCACATTAAGTACTTTTTGGCACCTGATTTAAATGTGTGACTACATTTATTTTACGCACTAACACACACATATGAAATGTGTTGTTGTGTGTGTGTTGAGATTAATAGTGGTGCTCTGTATGAGCGCGTAATGACATCACAGCGGGATATATTTAAAACCAGAAATCTGAGTGTAGACTTGAGATTAAGGTCATTCAGTTATTGTCTCACACAAACACACACACACACACACACACACACACACACACACACACACACACACACACACACACACACACACACACACACACACACACACACACACACACACACACACACACTACACAACTACGTAACTACTCGACAACAACACACACACACACACACACACAACTACTACTACACACACACACACACACACACACACACACACACACACACACACACACACACACACACACACACACACACACACACACACACACACACACACACTAAACTCTCTTGGGAGAAGTAAACAGATCCACAAACCAGTATCTCACCGAGCTACAGTCAGAAACATCTGGAAGCCATCACGACCCCTCAATCAAACACTTCCCCTCTCGGTAAAGACATCCGCACATCAGCCCACCTTCGCTCTCCTCCCTCTTTCCGCCTGGCCGGTAAAATCAGTGCGGTACGGTGTTTGTGGTGGCGTCATGGAGCACGGTTCAGAAGACAATCAGAGATGTGTATGAGTATGAGTATGTGTGTGTGGTTGTGGGTGTGTGTGTGTGTGTGTGTGTGTGTGTGTGTGTGTGGGTGTGGGAGAGACGCCTGCAAGGTGTTATGACTCAGCTCACGGTGACTTGATTAGATTAGTAGTCGTGACACTGTGTACATGCATGTCAGTGTGTAAGCAACGTGTAGGCAAAGAAGCAGGCGTTTTTGTTCTGCAGATTTATATCAAAGAATATAAAATGCTAATATTTTAATTCTGGTTGAAAGAGCTTTACAGATGTGTAACATTGACGTAAGATTATTTCGTAGTGTTCCCTGCATCTCTACGAAATGTGTCTCATTTAGGAAATGTTAAGTTCTTTCTTCACCAATATTGCTGTCTTTGACCACGATAGGCAGCTGTTTTTTACACATGTAAAGCTCCTACAAACCAACTAGCTGGTTATGATCATGGAGCACTAAAAAAGCTAAAAGGTCAGATCATTCTCTCAGGGTTTGGTGGAGACCAGAAGAGCGCTACAATCAAAACCGCCATGGTTTCTTACCACACAGATTGCTTCAGTTCCATCTGCTATAGGTTTGAGGGATCTGTGTCTAAGATCTGTGCATCATCTTAACCCAACAGAGGTTGATGGAGTTATGTGTTGTTTAAAGCATTGAAAATCACAAAACTTTCCTTCCCAGAAACGGTGTCCCTCTTTATTCTGATTGTACCAGGGGCCTAGCCTTCAAAAAGGTTTTCATTCAAACTATTTTCTAATAAAGAAATAGTGATTGGTACTCTTCTTCTCTTCTACACCTTCTTGCCTCTCACTCAGTGCTCTCTCCTCTCTGCTTCCTTTCCAGGCCTTCAATGAGTTTGAGATCGAGCAGCATCAGGAGTGTGCTTATGACCATCTGGAGGCCTTTGACGGGGACACTGACACGGCAGCCATCTTGGGTCGATTGTGTGGCAGCAAGATCCCGGAGCAGCTGGTCTCCACTGGAAACAAGATGTACCTCCGCTTCATTTCTGACGCCTCGGTGCAAAGAAAGGGCTTCCAAGCTACACACTCCACAGGTGTGTGTGTGTGTGTGTGTGTGTGTGTGTGTGTGTGTGTGTGTGTGTGTGTGTGTGTGTGTGTGTGTGTGGAAGAATGACCTGTTATAAAATAACACTTATGTTAGATTTTGTTTCTGTAAAGAGCATCACTGACAGTCACCAGACTGACTTGTAAAGTTTGAATAGATTTTTAAAGAGCAATAACTCCCCCCAGTGGTTCACAACAGCACATGCATGATGAAAATCATTTGTGAAATCTGACTAGAGTTTATTGAGTCTTTAGGAAAACACAAAATGTAACAAATGCCAGATTTTTCAGATTTAAAATGTCCCTCTTTCCTGACCCTGTGTCTCTGCAGAGTGTGGAGGTCGTCTGAAGGCAGAAGCTCGTCAGAAGAACCTCTACTCTCACTCCCAGTTTGGAGACAATAATTATCAGGGGCACACTGACTGTGAGTGGCTGCTGATGGCCGAGCAGGGCTACGGCATCGAGCTGAGCTTCATCACGTTTGAGGTAGAGGAGGAAGCTGACTGTGGTTACGACTACATCGAGCTGTACAACGGGTACGACGCCAACTCACATCGACTCGGTCGCTTCTGCGGCTCAGGGGTAAGATTTTTGTTCTTATTAAAGGCACATTTTTCACCATTTGATTGACTTTTACACCAAAACGAACAACAAATACATTCCAATAAAAATAATTGCTCATACCTTTAAAGGCAGCCATTAGATATTTCCAAATAAAAAATTCAAAATCATAACTTTTATTAAGATTACGTTTTTTGTTTTAACTTTAATAATAAAATTTTCCTGTAGAGAATATTGTGTCGTTTAATAATCACTGAATTTCTAAATTTGTCAAAGGAAAAAAAGCAATTGGTACAGAGATTCATGTATTTTGTTGACACCTGTAACCAGTAGCATTAATACAACACCTTTGTCCCCTCTCATCAACATTTTGAGCTAAAACTGCTAAAACTGCTGAACAAAGGTTCCCTATTTAGGAAAAAAATCTGATTTATTTACTTTAGTATAACAAAAATAAAAAAATGTATCAATAACACAGTGGAAAAATTACCTTTATCTTCAACTATAAGTAAAAGACTTTCCACCAATAAGAATACAACAGTCAAACCGGTCTCAAAAGTCTTCTAGTTAATGTTCATTTTTTACAGAGCTAATGAAAATGTTTCCTGGAAGTTGGGAAACTATGCCTAAAAAACACACATTTGACATATAGTATATTATATTTTGATATTAAAGGCCAAAGTTATACAGTACTCTCTCTCTCCTCCCCTCAGCCCAGGGAGGGGATCTACTCGCCCGGAGGTGCTATGCTGATCCGTTTCCATAGCGACGACACAATCAGCAAGAAGGGCTTCCACATCCGCTACACGAGCACCAAGTTCCAGGAGAGCCTTCACACCAGGAAATGACCTCAGACACATGCAGCCCGCCACCTCTGACCTCTGTGCAGCCCCCCACCCCCGTCACCCTGACCTTCACCATGGCAACGAAAAAAATTACAGCCCTTCCCTTCTGCTCGGACCCGACGTACAGAAGAGGACGTCCGCGGGAAGAAGACGACAGTTTGACGTGAACATTAGTCTCTCTCTGCGGGTCATCAGACAGGAAACACATGAGGGCTGGTTTTCATTTCTGCACATCAAGATACAGTGTGGATACTAAAGAGTACAAACACAAACACACGAGATTCATATTCAGAATATAAACTATGGCTTCTCGAGGAGTAAGGAGCTTCTGCTGAAAAGAAAAATGCATCCAACACAGGAGTTTTTTCGGACTTCTTGTGCGACTTACTGTGATCAGACGGCTGCTCATACCCACAGTAACTGAGAGGAAACTCTAAAATAGACATTTTTATTGCCTTTGATGCCTGGGAACTGGTCTCTTCACCCCAGCTCAGATCGGCTGCAGATGATTTTAATTCACGTCTTATTGTAAAACCCATTGTGTTTACTGTATGTGTGTACAGAGAAAACAAACAAAAGGCTGTCATTTTTGCTTAAAGCTTATGCAGACGACCATCATGGAATGGGAGAAAAATATATAAAAAAATGCAAATGGAGAATTTCCAAATAATCTGTGATGTTATTGTAAAGCCTTGCATTATGTTGTGTGTGTGTCCGAGCGTGTGTCCATGCTGTTTTGGAGTTTTTTTGCACCATCTTGTAACAAACTTTCATGGATGTTTCCACCTCACCCCTCCCCAAAAATAAAAGTGGATATCGTAAGGGAATATTTTCACAGCTGTCTCTCGGAGTGACACGATTCTGATTGATGGAGAGATTCCCATGGTGCTAAAAATGAAACTACACTGAATGACAGATGACTGCGATTGGAAGTAAAGGTTTTCAGTAGGAGACAGTCGGCGTGCAAACAGCACAATGCATCAACAGCACTAGTCCTGTGGAACTACAACATTGCCTTAGAACCAAAATGGATGCTGTCCGAGAGTTTTCAAGGTTTTTTTGGCAGCATGTTTCATTCGTTGGAGATCTTGAATGGTTTTATCGTGAAAAACAAACATGGGAAATGTAGTCTGTGTGTGAGATCAAGTGTCAGTGGTGCATGAGTGTTTGTGTGTCATTGTTGAAGCTGCTTTCAGAGATACATATACACACATGCTTACACATCCACAAATGTTGTGCGCTTTTTCCCCCAACGTATCTCAGCACACACTTCCCTTTCTGTATATTTGGAGCGTGGAGAGCAAAGTGCTGTAAAGTTGAAAGAATATCAAGGTGCAAACAGGTTGCATCGTTTGTTGTGTTAAATGCAAAATGTGTAAGTGTGTGTTATAGGAGATTATAAAGAAATAATGTGCGTGTATGTCTGTAAGCTGTATGTTTTTAAGTTGAATCATTCATTGCTGTACGTGCCAAGCTCCAGGTGACCCGGATCCACTGTAGTTTTTGTTTTATCACTCAACCTCTGTGTCTGTAGTTCAGAGACACTGACATGACATCCTCTGCATCAGTCATTAAAATACACACAGGTCAAAACTACACTGTCTTTTGTGGATTTTTGCTGGGTTGTATGTATGGATGTACGTTGTTTTGACCTGTTGAGGCAGATAAGTGCCAAATATTGATCCTCAAAATCAAGGCATATTGTGTGATAGTTATTTATAAGTGTTTTATTTCACATGATAATTATATTATACTTATTATAGCAACCTTTATTGCAATTTTCTGTTTAAACCCATTACAAAGGTGAAGTAAAAGAAGCCACCCTAAAAAGTATTTGAATGTTTTCGTCAGACTACTATATTTCATGTTCCTCTAAAGCTCACTTATTCTACTTGAACAGTCATATTGTGTGTTTCTATAGAGCCTGGAATAACACTTTAAACCTAGTCAGTGTTACATTTATTTATAATCAAATGATAATCATTTGGGAAATATGATTATGATCACTTGGTAACCAAGGTCAGCTAAGAATATACGAGTTGTCCTACTGTCAAAAATAATGTCTAAAAAATTAATGTTGCTCTAGAAATGAATATAATGCTGTGTATCAACTTCCAATAAATAAAGTCGCTAGGCTTAATTAGGCTTATTATTTTTGATGCATTCTGAAGAAAGAGTCACCGCTGAAGTTGTTGTTCCTTGATGTTTAGTAAAGAAATAAAAACAATCACAATTGCAGGACCTCATGGTTAACAGGAAATAGCCCAGCTTAGCTCCTTTATCATCCACAAACCCTGCTTTTAAAAGCTGGTTCAAACCATCATCCAAGGCCGTAACCATGGAGTCAACATTGGGGGAGACCAAAAATTCTATCAAAATTTGAGTACTAATTTCCTGCCATTCTAAAGGAAAATATATTAAAATTCACTAACACATGGGATACTTTAAAACCTGTTAAACCCCATGCCCCCGCCCGTGGGGGCAAAACACAACAATATTTACGAAACTGTGTCTCAGGCATGGGCGTAGCGGGAAGCATCCTCAATGTGGGTGGGACAATTTGACGGGGGGTGTGGGCAGGTGGTGGACCTAACCTCCTCTAGGGGGGTCCGGGGGCATGTTTTTTAAAATGTTTAAGTTAAATGCATCAATCTGGTGTACTTTGAGAGCAACATTAGGGTCTAAATCTATGGATACATCTCTCAACACCCATATGAAACAGAACTGTAACAGATTTACTTTTACTTTATGCATATTTTACAAATCACTCCCCTAGCTACTATTCCTGAAAAGTTCGTTTTTTA